TTCTAAGATTCTACAATCATGTAGGTTTTTCCGGTTTTGCTGCGTTATCTATCTATTATTACAAAAGCCAATCAATTTCCGTAATAAGATATGGCGCTATTCCAAAATATATATGGATTTGTAGTCTAAACTTTTAATTTAAACCAATTTCGGGATACATGAAAGTGTTCAAGTGACTGGGAGTGTTTATTTTTAAAAAATAAACAAATATGTGTATTATATAAAATAATAACAATAGTTTGATATTACAGTAATTAACTTATAATGGTTATCATAGTTTCTCAATAATATGTTGTATTACATGAAGTAATATATCGGTCAGTCAAAGGTTTTTATCTAACCAGTTGACCGACTAATTATTGATCGATTTTTGATTGACCAATTTTGACTGACTAACATTTTATAAGAAAGATTTTAGTTAGGATTTATTAGATTAAATGAATTTTAAAATATTACAAATTGTGATGATAAATTTCATTAAAAAAACATTTATTAACTTTATAATTATTAATCTTTATTTTAATATAAATTTAAATAATGATATTAAGATTAAATTAAAAATTGATTAAAGTATTTAAATTATATTATAAATATTAAAAAAAACCAAATCTATGTTAATTATTCAATTTAAAATTAATAAAAATTAATAAATAAATTATTTTAAAATTCTTTATAAAAAAATTGTTAGAATAAAATAAGTTATTATTAAAATCAAATATATTTTAACCTGAAAATTTTATTTGGCATATAAAAGTAAAATTGATTTTTCCAGTAATTATTTTCCTTCTATTATAAAAATCTTATATGTTTTCTAAATATTATTATATTTTAGAATAATAATAAAAATTCATTTAATGATTTTAACTTTAAATTTAAAAGTAATTTGCTTGTTAATAAACTTAAATTTTAGATATTTTAAAAAATTATTTATTAAATAAATAAAATTTTATAATAAAATTTATACTATTTTTTAAGAAAATTATTAAAAAAAAAATTTATATAAATTAAATATTAAAAAATTTATTTAAAACATTTAAAATTAAATATTATTGAATTTAAAATATTATATTATATATTATAAAATATAAGTAAATTTTTTATATTGCTATCCAAAAAATTACGCAGCTAGAGAAAATTTGGTATAGCACTAATAATCTATTAAGCGTAACATAGATGATCAATATAATCATACCTATATAATGATAAAGAAAAGAATGATATATAATGTAATACATAACAAAGCTAAGAATTATGATCATTAAAAGTGAAAGATAAGAAAAGAAGATATTGTGTAATAATTAAATAATAATTATTCAACTAAAATGATACACAATAATAGAACAATGATTATTCTATAATGCAAATAATAGAAGAATTATGTCATTGTAATTTAATTATTAAATAGAGATTATATAATATAATAATTAAACAACAATTATTAAATAAAATACAAACATTACAAAAGTGAAGTAATTATTATATAACTATTATATAAAAGTTTTAACTATATCATAAGTTATAAATAGCCTTTAAAATTTATTATATATCAGAAACTCTGATTATGACTTTGATTTTAAAGACCTTATTCTTTATAATTTTCATAATATTCTTAATAAAATTATTTTTAAAAATCCAAATTTGTTAATTTGTTAAAAATATTAATATTTCTAAAACTTAAATCTTTTTTAGCAAAACTATCTTAAGAGTTTGAAAGTGAAAGTCATTGTTAAAAACCTTTTTTTGTGTCTTAATAATTTCAAGTGTTAGAAAGCAAAAAAGATTACAAAGTTTACTTAAGTTAAAGATTATAAAATTATTTTAAATTTTACAAGTTACTTAGTCTTCATATTGATCAATTTAAAAGCTTAATCTATGAACAAACATTTTTAAAAAGCATGATGTTATAGTTAGTTCTTTTATATTGCTTAAAAGTTATAAGCAGACAGATAATATAAATGATAAGCAAATGGTTAAATTTGTAGTTGAAATGTGATAAAATATATGTATCAGTTGTTTATTTGATATGAAATAACAAATGAGTATTGTCTCAATATTGATACTCTGTACTGTATAAATGTTTTAATATAATCAAATTAAACTATTTAATACTTGACTTGACTCTTGTCTAAAGCTGAACTGTATTGAATTCTACCTTGACTAAAGAATTCTCAGCTATATTTATATAAAATGAAATATATATATTTATTAACAATGTTAACTTAATAAAATAAATATAATAAATAAATAAATAAAATCAATAAACTAAAGAAATTATGTAAATGAGATAAACAAAATAAATAACATTAACAATGTCAACTAATTTTGTAATCCACATTAAGAAGAACTTTCAAATGATTTTTGTGTAATAATAATCATTAAATTACATGTTAAAGAAATTCTAAAATTCTCTTTATAAAAAGTATAAGTTGAGCTAAATCTAATCTTACTTGTTTTAATAATGTATTTCAATTTGTTTAATAAATAAGTTTGAGTATCAATATATATGTAAAAATAAAATTATTAATAAATTTTAATAAATTTTATAATATTTAATATATATAATATAATTGATTTTTTAATTTTAAACTTATATTATATTTTATATTATGAATATTTAATTCTTATAAATTACAAAATATTGGAATAACAATTCTTTTTATCAAAGTAGTAATATTTATTAATTATATATTTACTTAATATAGATATTTTAAAAAGTTTTTTTATTTTAATAATTCAGATATAATAATAATATAAAACTTTAAAAATAATTATTTTTTAAAAATATGTTAATTCTTAATAAGATAATAAAAGAAATAAAAAATAACAAAAGAGAAGTATAAATAATAATAAAAAAGAGAAAATGTAATAGATCAGTTATCTTTAAACTATTAAAATAAATTTGTGAATTCCTTACATTTATATGATTTTTATACTAACTATTTATATTAATAAAAATATAAAATGATAAAACTATATCTAATTATTATATTTATCTATTGTATTTAATATATTCATTATATAAGCTATATTAATTATATAAGTACTTTACAATAAAATATATAAAAATTCTAATATATTAAATATTAAAATAATTATATTTAAAGGTTTAGTTACATATAAATAGATTGATAACTTTAAGGATAGTATCAGCTTAAAATAAATTAACTTGAATCAATTCTAAACTGATTTAAATTTAGCAAATTTTGAATCTTTTGAGTTTGAAACTACTATTAAAATAGAATTAAACTGACTTTGAAATTTGATACTTTGAAATTAATACTCAAATTTGATAACTAATCTAATTTTTTTCTAATTAATCTTCATTACATATTTTATCTATATTTTAAATCTGATGCATGTAACTCATATTTTACTTTTAAGAATTAAAGTGAAGCTGATGAAGAATTGAAATAGAATTAATGAGCTGATTCTTATTTCTAAATAATTTGTAACATTTGCAACAATAAAAATAATTTATTTTTAATAATAGATTTATCAATCATTTTTTTTATTAGAAAGTTTCTACCCTTTTTATTATAAAAAAATTCAATATATTAAAAATATTTATTTTTAGATGCTAACGCTAATCATCTACTTTATAAATGTTATTAACTTATATTATATTTAATTCTGAATTTTAATTATGATTTCAGTTTTATATTATCTGTCATTACAATAATCAGATCATTATATTAAATAGTATCAACTAATCATTTGAAATGAGCAACATTTTCAAAATAAAGGTCTAGATCAGTTAAAAAATTTTATTTACTACAGTTGCAAATAAAATAAAGTAAGGATTGAGCCAAGAAAAAGCGCATAAAGCTGGAAAATCATTAATTTTTTATTTAAATAATCATTTAATTTATATAAACAGGCGAATAATTAAACTATTGTTAACTTTACCTTTTCAAAAAGTTTACTCACATCACTTTGATTAACTAATTTCAAATTCTCTGACAAGACTTCGAAAAACGTCGCCATTTCCCATTTCATAAAATTTCCCTACTTTATGAAACCAATAATTGATTTTAACTATGTCATCTATCATCACATCATATATAATTCAAATCCTTTTTCTTGATTGATTTCCGTTCCAATTCCATTTACATAGCAATATCTAGCATTAACTTTGCGTTTATTTACCCTAAATTGGGTGGATTGCTTAGATTCAAATGCTTAAAAATTCATCATTTTTCAATACCATACCGAATTCATAATATTCATTTAATTTATATTAAATTTTGTTTTCCTGCTGCTAGTTGATATCAGTAAAATGCCTTTTCGAGATTTTCTTTTCATTCCAAACGGGAGACCAACTTTAATAACCAGTTGGCCATTTCACGATGCCATTTAAAGGCCAGTCTTAAACTACGGTTTGTTGTTATATCGACCAAGATTATGTGTGACAAGAGGATGACCAGATTTTGTTGCTTGTAGATACCGAATCATCGTATAAACGACCAAGATTATATTGTGCATAATAAACTACTTAACGGCTAGCATCTGCTTTACGCCTCTTGACAAATTTATCAGCAAATCTTTGATCATCTAGAATTGGCGAATTAGCATAAATCGATCTTGCATGATTTCAATAGTGACGTGAGGTGGATCAAGTGGGAAAGTAAGCAACCTCTGAATAAAATCCCTATTTAAGAAAATATTAACGTTTTGTACATTAATTTTATTTATAAATAAATAAATATAAATGAAAAAAAATTTACCTTTCACATCATTCAACCACGTAAAGTTTGACGACACCATTTTAAAAATCCTTCCGAAGGAGAATGAGATGCAAAATTTTCATTGGAATTAACACCGCCGTTGCCTGAAGTCTTTGACAAACTCAAGTTGAAAGATGTTTATTTTTTAAGTTTTCTGATGGCTTTCTTAGTTGACTTTGTAATCTTATTCAAAAAATAATGAAATTTAATTGAAGTTTATTTAATACAAAATAGAATTTTATGAAAATAATAAAAATACCTTAAACATATCCCAAGCTACGGTCGAATATTTTCCACTGAGCTTGATATCACATTTATAGTAACGTTATTAGGTTGAGGAGATAGTGCAATAATTGCAATATTGATAGAATTGCTAGCAACAGTTGTCCAAGCAGTATTAATAGAAATTAGGTCCGGTTTCTATAAGTTTAAAAAAAATAAATAAGTATGTCAAGAATTTATTATAATTCATATTTTTAAAGTTTGATGCTTACCTTTGCTCCATTTCCTATGGCTACTGTATCTGCATAGCATTTTCCCATACTATTTGTGGCAGCTGATACAACTCCAGAATTAGATAAAATAAAGCCGGTTGCTTGCATTTCACGTATCCTGTTACGTCTTTTTAATTGCTTCTTCCTTCTTCTTTCAGAATTTCTCCGTTTTTTTAGAAGCATAATTGTTTGATTGCCATACTAGTGTACTAACAGCGGGAGAAGTAGAAAGAGAAGACGAACTAGATGTATTGGTTGAATTTGGACCAATGACTACTCAAGAAAATTAGGGTGTTGATTCTTCCTTTGAAATCAGACGGTGGAATGAGTAACCGTAGAAGCAGCAGCTTAAGTTCAACTTCCATTTCTTGAATTCGTGTAGTGAAGGAGTTTGTGAGTACCGTGATCATGTTTTGCCCATGGAGCTGATGAAGGAATGAAAGGACTAATATTTCCCATGATAATATGTTATTCTTTGGTTAAGGTGTTTTGACAAATAGTTTGATTGGAAGTTTGGAAACCATTTTTCGTTTTATTGCCTTTTTTTGCGTTCTTAGTGAGGGTTGATTCTTCCTTTTGAATAAAATACAAAAAGTTGAAACACGTTCAAAGAATATTCGCTCATTACCTTTTCAACCACTTTGTTTTGTTGTAATTTCAACAACATCATTAATTTTACAGTCATGGACGGATCTTCTCTATTTCCATCCATGATTTCATATTGTCTCATTATGTTGATTAGAAATCTGATCAATATGTGATGATGTTATCCAATATTGTTTTCTTTCTCATACTTAAAAATCCGATCTCATCTGAATGTGGAACACGCGAAGAAGTGGATCCGATACTATGCACCTCCAATTGTGATAAGGGAGTTGGTTGTTCAGCAGCCGTTGTCGGCCAACCTGCAGATTTCGATAAAGCGTTAACAAACGGATACAGGCCCATATAACTTTGTAGTTGCCTAATAAAAGTGTCCGGATTAGCATGTTGACTTGTTGTGTTGTCTATTGGAGCATCATATATTTTTTTTGGCGCTCGATCTGGGAAGATTGTGCTCGTTAATGATCAAGATAACTTTGAGGTGGTGAAACATTGAAAGAAGCAGCATTATTGTTAAATATAGGTGATGAATTAGGAGGAGCTTGCACACGAAACGACAAATTTTCGTTGTTAGATATGAACCGTTTGTTTGTCCCATGCATTATTTGTTGAGTTCAGATCGCGCCTCCACTAGATGCCCATTATCAAATGGTGTATTTTGCACCGAAGTCGTTCCACCAAAAGGATAAATCGCTGTTGATGATTATCCAAAAAGAACTGCGTTGTACTGGTCGAAGTTAGAAGCAACCTTTGGAATGGATCAATAATAACATTTATTCATTTCCTGACTACTAAATGTCCGTAA